ACAAACAGGGCACAACAATGCCGAACCTCGGGTAAGACATGAAGTCTTACTAAGAATTTCATCCACTAAAGAGGAGATGAAATTCAATAAGAAGAGAAATTCAACCCAAAATCCATCGACTCCCAAGAGACTTTGGGAAGAATTTGGGAAATGAGCCCTAAGAGATTGGCTTGGTTGACCCAACTCGGTCAAGACCTTGGGCGCAAGTGTTGAATCACCACGGGAAATTCCCTCAAGAAAGAAGAGAATGATGAAACCTTAGCCTGGGAAGCAAGGTCTAACAAGGATCTTAAAGTCAAGCAAGCACCAATACCAAGGAAGGAGGATCATCAGCTCATCGGCGCATCGTGATCAAAGCATCTAACCAGATTATTCACTTGGGATCGAGAAACCTTAACCCATCCTAGCCGAATTCCTTTCCCTCCCTCGGAAAATCGGCCCCTTCGTTATTTCAAAACCCTTTCTACCCTTCAGACCCCATTCTCAACCCCATGTTTTAACGATTCCATACAAGTGGCAACCTCACAACCTAAGTTGCAACCTCGAAAACTTGATCCTAATTCCTGAATTCATCGTGTCCTCAAGTTTGAAACCCACTCTCTTAACCCTGTAAAACCTAATCGCTCCAAAAAACCCAACACACATAGGCGTGCAAGTATACAATTTCCCCGTGGAATACCTTCTCTATAGGACCACGGTTCTTCTCTTGACTCGTTAACCCTGCAATGATTTCCAAGCTTCGGGGACGAAGCTTCTCATAAGGGGGGGAGAGTGTAACACCCCGTGTTACGGCCTTTAATCCCGGATTAATTATTAAATTAATCCCGTTAATAATAATTAAATATGATTTAATTCGGTTAGGTTTCCTTTAATTAATTAATAAAGGTCCACCATGAACCGTGGACCCTTGCCTAAATTAGAGTCCTAAGCCTATTAGGAATAAAGAAAGTAAACCCTTTACTATTCAGATTCTAATTAGGAATCCTAGACCTAGTTATCTATTAGGAATAAAGGAAGTAGGCCTTTTGCTATTCAGACTACGATTAGGATTCCCTTTAATTAATTAATATGGTCCACTATGGACCATGGACCCTTATCCCTAAACCCAATCCTTAGTTCCAAAAGGAATAGAATTAGCAAGCCTATAATATTAGTTCCTAACCAGGACTCCTAAATATATAAATAGGGAACTTAAGAGGCACCTAGAACCCCCCACCACAATAAACGTTCCACCACCCCAAAGTGCTCCAAGAATCCCCTTAGAAGAAATCAAGAAAGCAAGAAAGCTTAAAGAAAGACCCTTCATAGCCAAGGAATTAATTAAGGCTAAGAGGTAACCCATGTCTCAACAAAACCTATTTTCATAGCTATGATTTCCCCTTAGGGTTTCCCCCATATGATTGTAAATGGCGAATTACTATGATTATTATTGATGTTGATTTAAATGGGGAATCTTGATAATCTTGATATTGGGAGTTTCTTGATAATTATGATGTTCTTGATGATTAATTGGGATTTTGATGATTATGTGTTGTTCTTGATGATTATGATGTTCTTGATGATTAATTGGTATCCTTGATGATTATGTGTTGTTCCTACCGCATCTTGCAATTAGAAGACGAACCGTATTCTTGTTGATATAAAAGTGATTAGAACCCTAGGTTGTATCGTATGATCTTATTCTTGGATTATCGGGTGGGAAATCGCATGTTTGGGTGTTGATTATGATTAGAAAAGCATGTTAGGTTATGTGCCGTTCGTCTATCGTATTTAATCCGTTAATTGTCTACGTGTTGTCGTTAATCACGTTGAAAAGTGTCTAAGCATGGTTTTGGGTTCCACAATGGTTCCCGGGACGAAAAGTGGTGAAAAGAGTCAGTGGGGGGTAGGGGACCCACCACCTACCCGCGGCAATTCGGGCAGCTCCGGCAGCGGGCAGCCGGCGGGCGGGCAGCTGCCCGCCGAGCACCCGCTGCCCGGAACAGTGTCAGCCGGCGGGCAGCCGGCGGGTGGACCCCCACCCACCGGCTACCCGCTGGAATTTCTCCCACCTCGAGACCCCGGCTTCCCCGATTGATGTTTCCCCGATCCCCGTGGTGTCCCAACGGACCCCGTTTGTCGTGCCTATGTCTAGTTTGATGTTTCGGGTACCGTTCGTAGGGTTATGAGTCCGTTGTATCGCATGCTAGTTGAATTGGTATCCCGTTGACCTAGGTGAAAGAAGTATGAACCCCTTAGGACTATTCTTAGTATGTGATGGATCACGCATAGGTTTGTTATACGCTTTATCCCCCTTCCCAATGTGTAATGTGGGTTGCATGTGCTTGCTATGTGTTATGTGTGGGTGCTACCCCAATTCGGTTGCGATCGGATTGGTTATCCTGAGCTGCGGTTCAGAAGCTGGCTGCGGTCAGATGGGTATTCCTGGCTGCGGTCAGATGACATTCTCTTGGGCTGCGGTCCACCGTTTGGTTGCGATCAAACGTTTCTATACGAGCTGCGGTTCGTCCTTTATCCTGGCTGCGGTCAGATGACACTCTCTTGGGCTGCGGTCCATTATTTGGTTGCAATCAAACATTATGATGAGCTGCGGTTCATCGGTCGGTTGCGATCGACCTCCCCGTGTTGCGATATGGGGCATGGTGCTGCGGGGCTGTGTCAGAGCTATATGCGCTGACCCTCATGTATGGGCATGCGATCGGTCCTGTGGCGCCAACAATGTGCGTTATGTGTGTGATATGGGCGAGATTGTGATTATGTGTGCCTTGGGATGTGACTATGGGATTTATATTGGGGATTGTTCATGTTGGGTTATGATCATTGTTTATGCTTTGCCTTATCTGCCTTATCTGTTGTGAACTGCATATGCTCGTTATAACTGTTGCTTGTGTCTGACCTTATCTGTCGAGTCATTCCCGGTTTTAAAGCTAGAGTTCGTAGGATATATCTTCATGCTCAAAATGGTTTTCGTATACCTATATATATCTCTATATGTATTGTATTTCAACGCGTTGGAGTGGGTTACCAGCATCTCTCGCTGAACAGATATATTTGGCTTTCAGGCACAGAAGATTAAGTCACTGGAGTGCGCTAGAACTTAGAAGTAGATAGTTTCCCTTTTGGCCTGCGTGCCACGTTTACGTATTTACGCTTTGAGGATATGAGTTAGTTAGCCTGTGCACTTGGGTTCTCTAGCCCAGGTGTGGCATAGCACCCCGAACGCTTGTAATTATATCTTGGGATTTAATAAGATTCTACCTTTATTATAAGTTTTAAATGTCTTGAAAATCTGGGGTGTTACAATACCGTTGCGTCAATCACATCGGCTCTGTGTGTAATCTGACGTGCTGCATTTATTAGGGTACTTCACCCTTGGGTCTATATTTGAGTATCGGGTCAGGCTTGGAAGAACGAAGAAGTTCAAAATATCTCTGCCCACCGATTGATTTCTCTCTGCTTTTCTACCTAGGGTTTCTTTCTCCGCTTTCCAAAAATTTCATATCAATGGCGGATGCTGTTCGTAACATTATCATCAAGCTTGGGAGAAAGGTTCATTCACAAGAGACAGCCACCAAGCATGTCAAAACCCTGCTCCAGTTAGCTATGAAGAAGAAGTTCAAGCTTGATCCCCTTCTTCGTGATGAGATTGTGGTCACAGTGATGTCGGATTATCCATAGTTCTACGCCGACTGGTCTGAAGATGACACCAATGAGCTCCTGTTGCTGGCCTCCGAAGCTAGTGATGAGATTTCTCCAGCATTTATCCCAGAGCCCTCAGATGGAAATCGGGCTGGGGCGTTTCTCCAATATTTTGCATAAAGGGCTCTTGAATAAGAAGAGATCTCCCGTCGTAGAGCAATTGCACAACCCCTATACATACATGCTGCCGAGAATGAAGCCAGACACCGAATGGAGATTCTTCGTAACAGGTCAAATACTTCTGATTCTCCTATTGAAATTTCTCCAGATAAGCCTAATGATTTTGTAACTGCTGATATTCCGTCTGTTGTGCCTACTGTGTCTGATAATGTAAATGAGTTATTATATGTGAAATCCTCTGTGTCAGATGATCCCTCATGCATCCCCTCTATGAAGCCTGAGCCTTTGAAGGAAGTTGTTGGTGTTGTGTCTGATGAGAAAGACAAACCATCTGAGGAGACCAACAATCTAAGTTTGGTTGTTTACTTGTCTGATAATGTTGCTCTGCCTCCTTCTGCGATTGCTGATGTCCCACATGAAATCTGTCCCTCTGATAATCCCTCTGGGTTGCTTGTTGAAGTTGAGTCTGTTAAACACTCAAGCACCCATGCATCTGAAAGAATAGATGGAGTCCCAGTCTACACCTCCTCATCTTTGGCTGAAAGTCTTGAACATGTCCGGCATTTTGCTGGTTTACCTGTTGCCTCCATTCCAGAACCATACCGTGTGATTCATCCTTCTGAGTCCTTGAGTGAAGATGAAAAGATCCTTGCTGAAGTCTGTGGCACACAAGCTCTTGCACCTAAGCCCCCAACTGTTGAGGCTACTGCTCATCCTGATTCCACCACCTTCAAAATTAGAGAAGTCACAAATCTTCTTGGCAGTTCTTCTGCCCATGTTCCTGATTCCAGTCACTCTATTTCTCCTGTTCATTTCCAATCCAAGGAGACGAGAAGATCAAAACGAAAGAATGTTCCTGTGAAGGTTGTTGTTGAGACGGGTGATGACACTGCTGTTGTAGATCAGCCTGAGAAGAGAAGGAAGTCCACTGAGTCTATCGAACCTGAAGCTAATCCTCCAATTCAACAAGTGTTCAAGACACTACGGTCGTCTATTAAGCAAAAAGGTCCTGCTGCTGCTCAACCAGCTGTTGTTCCCACATCCTCTACCCGAAAGGGGAAACATCTACTCGTTCCAGAGGTCTGAGTATCACTCCTGAGGTTCAACCTGTTGAGAGTACTAACACATCTATTTACAAGTCTTAGTTTGTTACCTCCACTGCTCAAGGTAAATGGTCCACCATGGTCAGGAGAGATCTCATTGTTCAACGGTCTGTTGATGAAAACCAGATGAATTCAGTTTGCGACATCCTGCTACTGCTGAGTGAAGTGGGCTTGCTGAAGGCTGTCTCATCTATTTGTCCGTATTCGAAGTTCCTCACGTATGAATTCTACTGTAATCTCAATGAAGAGATAGACAATTTGACTGGGCCACGACCAATGCAAATCTTCATTCGAGGTAAATGGTACGTCTTTGGTCCTGACATGATCAATGAATACTATGGCTTGTCAGCGGTGCACGAAGAAGCAATCACTGACTGGGATTCAGTGGCCAAGACCCTAACCGGTGGACAGACTGATACACGGCCTTCTGGTGACAAGGATTATCTACCCAGCTCTCAGCTCACCTCAAAATATGTCATATTGCATCGTCTTGCGCTTCACAACTGGCTTCCATCAGCTCATTTCCATACCATGAGCAAGCAATTGGCAGGTCTCTTGTTTCGAATTGGAACAAAAATGGCGTTTGATTTGAGGGCCTGGATTTATAATCATATCCTCACCTTGATCCATCCACGTGAACAGAAGGTAAGGCTACCCTTCCCTAATCTGATTTTTGGAGTGCTAACAACTCAGGGCCTTGAGCCAATGCCAAGTGAGGTGATAAGTCCGACTCTACTCTATACTGTTGACCGTCGTCTTTTGACTGGAGACCATATTTGTGATGTTACACCGGTGATTGCTCCCTCCAATTCTGAAGCTGATACAGTGGCTGATGATTCGCCGCATGCAAGGGATCTCCAACTCTCTATTCAATTGAAGGCAAGGGTCTCTGAGCTTGAGACTGTTCACGGCATAATTGCGAGGCAACTGACAGGGGCTCGTACTGAATTGGCCACCGTTCTTCTTCGTTTAAGCTTGTCTGAATCTGCTGCTGCAGAACCTGCGAAGTCTGACAGTGAGACTCCCTCCAATGCTTGACCATGTAATGGCTATCATTGGCAAAAAGGGGGAGTATGAACTCAGAGGGAGTTTTATGTGTGTTTGTGAGTTTTATGTGTTTTTGTGTACCTTCTGGCCCTGGCTGGGCGTTGATTGTGATGGCACCACTTCTTTTGGTTGAAGAATGTTTTTGACAGATGTTTTGATCCAGCATGACTTGTATGCTGTGCTTTCTTTCCGCTATGCTTTGTAATCAGATATTTGGTTTGGTTTTTACGCTAGCCTATCTTAGTTCTTTCAGTGTTTGTCTTTATACGCAGTCGAGTTTTTTTGCCAAATAATATCCAAAGGGGGAGTTTGTTAGTGTTTTAATTGCTCAAAAAACCCCAACTTATAATTGGCAATATTATTATGGCAAACTAAGATAGGATTAGCTTAGTGTCGGTTTTGTCTTACAGAGGACTGATCAATCAGATACAACAACAGAGGGACTGACACAGAATATCTGAATTAGGAAGTTGTTTCCTTAAAGTCTGTACGCGGTTTAAAGAAGACAGATTTGGAAAGAAGATCAGCGTATCTGTTTTGGAAAGGTATGGACCGAATCTTTAAGATTACATTCTTCAAATATTGTCCTACCATCTACAATCAAAGATATCTATGGAGGGTGTTCGTACTATGGATCTTTAAGTACTCTTATTCGACAAGAATTAGGGTTACGCTCTCAAGAAGAAAAACAACACTCCAATATAGTTTTATGATATCAGATCTTTGCTTATCATGCCTCTTCTCAATACAACATGTTCATGGTGATTATGGTGAAGAACTTGAGAAGAATTATTGTTGCTTAAACGAAAGGACGCTACGATCACACTGTTGCGGGAACAACCGAGAAGATCGTTATTGAAGTGGACTGCATAAGAGTTGGCTCTCCATGTGAAGGGATTTCACTGGACTTCTGTATGCAAGGCTCTCCATCTTCAACCATCCACTAAACCTGTGTAGACTGGGTACGTACCTTGTGTGGGACACTTGGGTGAGATTGTTGTTTCTCTACCTTTGTACATTGGATTATGATTTAGTTGATTGGATGCTTATGTGATCGTCCCCTAAATGTAGATACACACTGTATCGAACTGGGTAAAACATCTTGTGTGTTGCTTTGTATCGTTATCTCTTTCTATAAACATCTCAATAATCTGCCTTACTGACTGACATCATCGTTGAATCAGTCAGTCCATTTCATCAGTTGGATAATCCAGTTAACTTGATTAAAAATGAGGAAATGCAAAATTACATACTAAATTTTTAGAGTCTCTAGGTAAATTGTGAGTTAAAGGATCATATGGGTCACTAGGTACAGGCAAATTTCGAATGTCAAAATTATCATGAGATATGGGAGACACGAATTTATCAGGCAAGGAAACATTAAAATCAATTTTTCTAGATGAAGATTGATAGGGCACAGTGTTTAAAGAAGAAGAGACGGGAAGTACCACTTTGTGAGAAGAGGCGAGAGACACAGGTTTTGGTAGAGATGAATCTGAAACAGTGGTTGTCACAGGTGGAATTTTCCAGGGATCAGCGGAGATATGTCGAGCCAGTGCAAGCATTTGTCTATGTTCTTTGTCTGTGAGCCCTTCAAGGAGAAAAACATCCGCTTTGATTGTGGCAAGAACCCTATCAGTAGCTTCAGGGGATACGTGAGACTCGGCATCAATGATCTTGCGGAAGAGAGTCACCCTTTCAGATCGAGAAACGAAGGTGAGAAAAGGATTTTCCATGTGAGGAGCTTGATTGAATAACAATGGTGGAAGATGATAAGTTGGAAGGGATGACTTCGGTTTAGTGGAGGCAAAGAGGAGACACAATAATAAATGTGAGGTGTGATGTTTCTCTTGAAAAGGCGTGTGGGTGTGATGGCTACAAGACATGGATGTGAATATTAATAGGTAGGTAATTGAGTGTAAGTTGGAAAAGGTTTTGGTGTTTGACTTGAATGGGTCTTCTAGGAGAGCATGAGACACTCGATTTAATAGAGAAAAAAAAAAACTTATAAGAAAGACAAGAATGGTCAATTAAGTTCGAAGGATTCACCAAAAACCAAAAACACTTTGTCCCTGTAAAGAATACGTATGTAATACACACAAAAAAAAACTGTTAGATCTAAAATAAATAATAAAGAAATAACAAATACCTGCTTGAGGGAATTAGACAGTAAGCATGCAAACTCCGAGAGCTGCGCGAAGTAGTTCAAACCTGGATTTGTCTAATGGTTTTGTGAATAAATCTGCAAGATTTTTGTCAGTAGAAATATAGTCCAACGTAATTTCTTTTTCTTCGACTAGCTCACGAATGAAATGAAGACGAATGTCTATGTGCTTCGTACGGGAATGTTGGACCGGGTTTTTAGATATGTTAATCGCACTGGTGTTGTCACAGAAGAGGGTCATATTTTTCTGATCAAAACCGTAGTCAGGAAGCATTTGACGCATCCAAAGCAGTTGAGTACAACAACTACCCGCAGCTATGTACTCAGCTTCTGCAGTGCTGAGCGATATTGAATTCTGCTTTTTACTCAGCTAGGCAACTAGATTTTTCCCGATAAAAAAACATCCTCCTGACGTGCTTTTTCTATCATCGGCGTTACCAGCCCAGCCAGCATCACTAAAACCTGTAAGACTGAGATTACTGTCAGTGGAATACCAAATACCAAAATTGAGTGTACCGTTAACGTATTTTATAATGTGTTTTACTTTACTGCCTTCAAGTGTGACTCTTTTGGATCTGCTTGGTAACGTGCACACATTCCAACACTTACCATGATGTCTAGTGTACTAGCAGTTAAGTATAGTGGACTGCCAATCATACTTCTGTATAAGGTGGAGTCAACAGAAGTTCCTTTGTTGTCTTTGGATAATTTTGCAGTCGTTGAGACAGGTGTTCGGGCATCTATTGCCGATTCAAGACCAAATTTTGATATGAGATTTTTCGCATATTTCGTTTGAGACATAAATATCCCTTCTTTTGATTGATTTACTTGTAATCCGAGAAAGTAAGTCAGCTCTCCGATCATGCTCATTTCAAACTCTTGTTGCATGACTTTGACCAGTTGGTCCATTTCACCTGTCTGTGTGGATCCAAACACAATATCGTCAACGTAAACTTGTGCAATAGTTATGTGTTTACCTGATCGTTTTATGAATAAGGTTTTGTCTGATCCCCCTCGTTTGTAATTATTTTGAAGTAAATATAAGGCGAGTCTTTCGTACCAGGCTCTTGGGGCTTGTTTTAGCCCGTACAGAGCTTTTTGAAGCTTGTATACATATTCCGGATGTTGTGGGTCTTCAAACCCTTTCGGTTGCGCAACATATATATCCTCAGTGAGATAGCCATTTAGAAAGGCTGTTTTAACATCCATCTGAAAGAGCTTGATTTTTAGAGCACAGGCAATGGAGAGAAGCAGTCGGATTGATTCTAGACGAGCTACAGGAGCAAATGTTTCGTCGTAGTCGATTCCCTCGATTTGGGAATACCCTTGAGCTACTAGTCTTGCTTTATTTCGAGCGATGTTGCCGGCTGCGTCAGTTTTGTTTCGAAAAGTCCACTTGGTACCTACAACATTTACATTATTTGGTTTAGGGATTAGAGTCCATACCTTGTTTCTTTCGAATTGTCCCAATTCTTCTTGCATGGCCTTGATCCAGTGTTCATCGGTTAAGGCTTCTTTGATATTCTTTGGTTCAATCTGCGATGTATAGCAAGAGTATCCAGCTAGTTCAAGATAGTCGCGTTTTGGTTTACCTCTCGTTTTCACACCTGAACTGGGATCTCCAATCACGTTTTGGATCGGATGATTTTTCTAGATACGAGTTGGAATATCCATACCATCTGGATCATTTTCTGATTCTGACTCAAGTTCAGATTCGGGTTGATTGTATATGGGCGATGTGGTAGGTGACTCATGGTCTGATTCTGGAGTACTAGCGTCAGGGCTTTTAGGACGGTTAGTTTCAGGTTCTATCACTGGGTCAGGTTGGATAACTTCAGCAATCTCACTGGGTTGATCATCGATGACGACATTTATGGACTCCATGATGGTTTTGGTCACTTTATTATATACTCGATAGGCTCTGCTGTTGGTGGAACAACCGAGAAAAATTCCTTCGCCGATTTTTGGCTCAAATTTTGAAACAGGATTCCTATCCTTTAAAATAAAACATCGTGAGCCAAAAATATGAAATTAAGTAATGTTTGGATTCTTACCTTTCCACAGTTTGTACGGTGTTTGTGTTGTGCCTGGACGTAGGTAGACTCGGTTGATGATGTGACACGCGGTGTTTACAGCTTCAGCCCAGAACTTTTGTGGTAACCCTTTGGCGTTGAGTAATACTCTTCCCATTTCCTGAATGGTCCAATTTTTCTGTTCTACAACTCCAGTTTGTTGTGGAGTTTTTGGGGCTGAATACTTATGTGTAATCCTTGATTGATTACAAAAGTCATCAAACAGCTTATTTTCGAATTCTCTGCCGTGATCGCTTCGGATTCTATGGATGGATTCATTTCTTTCCTAAAGCGCTTCGAACTTTTCCCTGAGAAACATAACCCAAGAAAAATGAGAAAAGTCATCAACACATACCAGTATATATTTCTTACCTCCGAAACATTCTGTATGAGTTGGACCAACGAGATCCATGTGAACCAACTCTAGGCACCGGCTTGTGTTTATGGTGTGTTGAGCTGGATGAGAGGACTTGATTTGTTTCCCAGCTTGACAAGCACCACAGATAGTTGACTCGACTTTCATCTTTGGTAACCCACGAACACCTTCTATTTTTACAAGTTTATCGAGAAGTCTATAACTTAGGTGCCCCAATTTTTGATGCCATAGCTCTGCTTCGTTCATCCTGGACCTGCAACATAGCATATTATTTGTTAGAATATAGCAATTATAAGTTGATCGTTTACCTTCCATGACACATTGATTTGTTTTGTCCATCACACTGCAGCTATTTTTAGTGAAGCATACGTTCCAGTTTTGGTCGCATAATTGACTTATGCTGATAAGATTAGCATGAAGACCACGGACAAGCAACACTTTATCCAGTTTTGGCAAACCAGCTACATTTAGAGTGCATACGCCAGTCACCTGACCTTTGACACCGTCACCAAAGGTAACTTCACCTTTACTGGTATTTACGTTGTTAAGGAATTTGACATTTCCTGTCATGTGACGAGAACATCCGCTGTCAAAGTACCATTTCTCTTCTCTTCCTGCACTTTTAGAGTGAAACGAAACAAATGAAACATAATCAGTCTTTTTAACCCAAATTTGTTTTGTGAATGGTTGTATGTTCTTGTGCCTGAATTTCTCGATTCTTTGATCCTTGTAGAAATAGTAGCATTCAGGTCTGGTATGATCGCGTAACCTGCAATAGTGGCAAACGGGATTATATAGTTTATAATATATCTTATTTGCGCTTACTTTACCATAGGAGTTTTTCATTGTGCTGGATTCAGGGATGTCTTCTAGATCAGGTCCAGATGCTTTGACAAATACTGTCTTATCTTTGGAGTTACTTCCAGTGAAGCCCAAACCGAATTTTGCAGAAGATTTCCTGCAGGAATCAAGAATCTTATCAAGTATTGAAGTGGTATCCATCATTTGGATTTGTCGTTTGTAGGTGCTGAGCTCCTGTTTCAAAGTCTGTACTTCTTGCTGGAGTTTTTCTTCTCGGTCGGCTGCCTCCTTCAGTAGTACATTGCTAGTTTGTACTTTGTTTTGTAGTTTTTCTTCTTGATCAGCTGCTTCTTTAAGTAAGACATTCCTATCAGCTACTTGAGTTTGATATACTTTATTGGCATTGGTTACAATCTCTATCTCACTAGCTAGTTTGCAGTTCATTTTTCGTAAGGCTTCCCATTTGGGATACAACTTATTAAACTCAGCTTCAAAAGATAAAGTATTTAGTTCCACATCTTCTGCAGAGACATATTCACCACCTTCTGAGTCTTCAATGGGTTCTGAACAGCCAGTGACTCGTGCTGTAAATGCAACAAAGTTACCCGAGATTTCTTCGACATCCGATCCAGTTGTATCAACGTCAGGCTCGTCATCACTCCAGGTAATGGCTGACATAGATTTTTTGCGTCGAAGATAGGTAGCACACTCAGCGTCTACATGTCCAAAGCCCTCGCACTCATAACACTTGATTCCTTTATTGTTGGGTTTCTCTTTGGACTGTCCTGGACGTGAGACAGACTGTTTGAAGTTTGACGCCCCTGTCCTAGGCGCAGTTTTGGACGACGTTGCTCCCCTTTGTGAATTTCTGTTGCGTGTGTTTTTGGATACCTGTTTCAAAATTTTGGAAAACTGTTTAGTCAGGAATACAACTGTATCATCACTAGTTTCATCTGAATCGGATACAACATAATTTTCTTCAACGGCAAACGCAACATTTTTTTGTTTTTTTCGTATGATCAGTTAAGATTTCCATTTCATATGTTTTAAGATTTCCCATTAATTGAGTGACCGATTTATTCTCCCAGCCATCATGCTCTTGGATAGCTGTGACTTTCATTCGAAACCTGGGAGGTAGAGATCTCAGTATTTTCTTAACAAGCTTTGCTTGCGAGAATGGTTCACCAAGAACCATTGCGAGATTCGCCAGATCCTGTATGCGTGTGTGAAAGTCGATGATTGTCTCATCCTCATTCATGCGAAGCTCTTCGAATTCTGACTGGACCAGTTGCAGTTTTGACTGTTTTACCGATGTCGTTCCTTCGTAAGTAGTCTCAAGAGCCTCCCAAGCACCTTTAGCTGAAGGAATACCTGCAACAATTGAGAACTAGCTTTCATGCATAAGAGATTAAATTGTGTCTAAAGCCTTATCATTGTTTCCAGCGTTGGTTATTTCTGTTTGAGTCCACTCAGTCTCAGGCTTAGCTATTTCGGTTCTGTCAGTGCTGGAACTGGGTTTGGTGGGATGTGTCCAACCTGCCACCACAGACCGCCACATGGCTTCACCTTGAGCTTTTAGATGCGTACGGGTGCGAGCCTTCCAATATGCGTAGTTGTCGCCGGTCAACTGGGGAATGACTTTAGTACGATCCATTTTGTAACACTTAACACCCCGTGAGATCAAACAAATAAGCAATAAACAGATAAATAAAAATAGCCGCTGAAGAAATAAGTTCAAGATGCACGGATTCGCCAGATCGATAGACTAATAGATTAAGTCTACAGGCTCTGATACCAAATGAAATTGCACCGTGACACTTGAAAAACAAAAGCACTGTGTTTTTACTTGTTATTTAAGTTATGCACCAATTGCGTTCATTAATTAAACTCGTTTAAGCAAGTATAAATAATAATTGTAGAAAGCATAAAATAATTTAAAAACACAAAGAGATTGTTACGCAGTTCGGAGCTCCTTCTCCTACGTCTACGGGGCAACCCACGTCTGCCCAATCCACTATAGATGTTCACGAAAAAGAGTATTACAAGAGGTAAATGTAGATGCCTCCAGCCTTTACCACTACCACTCTTTCTAACACCTATCTAGGTCTGGCACACGAATACCTAAACAATCTTCACAAGATACTTCAGCAGTACCACGTACTGATCATGTAGTACAGATTAAATATTCTTAAGAATTAAACATAGAACATATTAAAATAGGAAGCTTTGCAAATCAGATGTGTGCTCAGTATTATAATCTCAAAAATCAGCAAAGCATTTTCTCGAACAGCACCCTTTTATAGCAGATGTTGAGCTTCATTTTGTGATCCTTAAATATAGCCCTTTTCCTTGCGTTTCCTTGTTCGAATAAACCACAGCCACGTTTTTTATTTCTTTGAAAACTTTATATGTAGACTTTATTCTCCAAGGCATACCATCCACTCATTTAGATATCACATGCTCCAAAATAGAATTAATTCTAACAACAATAATTAAGTTCTTAATTAAAACTAATAAAGCTACTACTAAATAAAATAGCCAATATTGTGTAAATTAATTTACACTTACCGTTATAATTATTGTATTAGTTTATAAATCACGTGTGAAGTAGTTAGCGAATGATTTGGGCAAAACTAGTAGATTATGAAAACTGTTTTAATGTGTATGGCTATTGTAATTAATTAGAGGTTAATTTGTATGGAATTTGTTAATCTATTGCAATAGCTGGTGTAGTATGCTAAAGAAATTAAGGCAAATCCATTCTGAATTTTAAATACACAAGTTTTATATAATTTCCTTTATAATTTTCTCTTCTATAATTTCCTTTATATATATATATATATATATATATATATATATATATATATATATATATATATATATATATATATATATATATATATATTGAATCCAGTGAAACCCTCTAGTCAGGTGAGATCATGAGATTCGATCTTGAGCATCCGATCATGAGATTCGATCATGAGCATTCGATCATGAGATTCGATCCTGAGCATTCATTTTTTTTAACGGTTAAGATTTCTAGTTTGTTTTATTTATTAATGACTGATCTGTATTCTGTAACTAGTCGAGGGCACGCGCTTTGCGCGAAACGTCATGCCCAACAATCAATTATTATATATGTTCTAATTTTTTATTTTTTATTTTTAAAACAAGTATGTTCTAATTTTTAAATAATAATATATATAATTTTAATAATTGTTTTATGACAAAATAAATAAGAATACATAAATAAGTTATTTAGATACCAACATGATATAGAAGAATTGAATTAGGAACATAAGGGAGGACATTAGATTTGGTTTTGGGGGAGAGAATAGAGATGTTAGCTAAAATAATGTAGTGGTTTTCTAAAAAAAAAATGTTGAAAAAAAAAAAGAAAAAAGAAAAAAGAATGGAGTGTTGGAATGATGGAGAAAAAAAAAAGACAAAGATCACATCAAGGCAAAAAGGAATAAGACAAAAAAGTAATGGTAAAGTTGTTATTTCTTTAAAAATTGAGGGCAATTAAAATGAAAAAATAAATCAAAAATTAAATCAAAAAATTTCATCCATTAGATTTGAAATCAATGGTAAGCAAGTGGTGCCATTTTTGAGGGCAAATAGCAACTCCCAAATATAAGTATAGGGGAGATATACTTGGGGGTAGGGGAGTAAATTTGCACGCGCATTTAATTTGTTTCCGTTTCGAAATCTGTATAGTCTCTTTCTTTCCCTGTGCATGTTTGGTATTCTTATCCCAAAGTCGCAGTTCTTCTCGGTAAAATCGCAGTCCAGCCGAATTCTCCTAGTACCGTCAAACCCTTCACGTCATTGGTTGTAGTACCGGATTCTCCATAGCTGGTCAAGGTATTTCGTACTAAAATACCTATTGTTTTAAATAGATGAGTGACCGACATGATAAATTTTGGTAATAAAATAATAGTCATGGATTAAAATTGGTACTAAAACAATAGTCGTGGATGAAAATTGGTGGAAATTAAACATGTGGACGAAAATCGTCATTTTTCTAATACTCGTGGGACCAAAATTGGTTTTCGTGATTTCGTGATTTTGGTTGTGGGCTTTTCATTTCGTGATTTTGGTTTTCTATGGGGTTTTTCTTTTGGGGGGGTTTTCATCCGGTAGGGGGGGTTTGTGCTTTTGTATTGTGTGGCGGTTGTTCTTGAGGGGGGATGTCGGCGGTGGGTATGGAATTTCAGTGGGTTCAAAAGACCCATCCATAGACAACAGTCCTTTTCTCGTAAGGTCTAAGGTATTTTGATCCATCTCTATCCTTGCATTGAGAGTAATCTTGGGACAATACTCCATCTTATTTGAACATTGGACAAGGTTCATATCAATTTGGTATCAGAGCCTAGGTTTAATTTATCTCATAATCCGTACAAATTTGTTTCCTTTGCAAATTTGTTTCCTTAGGTTATTAAATATAAAAAAACATATCATTCTTATCTTACATACTATTTTTTTTCATGTCTTATACATCAAAAAATTTAAAAAAAATAAAAATAAAAATTGCTTTCTTGATTGTGTTCTCGAACCTTCCAAAAATCTCTCTTCTTTGGTACAACAATTGATGACAATTATGCTTGTGTTGTGTGCGTTCATATGTATGATGGATATAGTCAAGTATTTCTCCTTGTTACAAATTAAATTGGAATTGTTTTAAGCGCTGTGTTAACATAACTGGAAATATCAACATTTTGTTTTTTTTCTTCAATTTTAAGAATGTTTAATATAAGTATATATAAGATCTTTCTTTCTTCTTATGTAAAAGTTATCATAGTTAATAATCTCAATTTGTTGGTATAAGTTAGTGATTTATTCCTTAATTGTTTAACTTTGGAGGCTTAAACCATAACATGGTTAACAAAAATTAAGGACTATATACTAACAACTATGGATTGAAACCACTAATCACTATAACTAGAGACTAATAATATACTTTTCCCATACATTACTGTAAAAAAAATGAACAAAATTTAAAAATCAAACCTTTGCATATTGTAATAATTTTAATCAAAAATTTTAAATTTTAATGATGTTCACCAATATAATATTACTCTTCAACTTAAAATATCCATCCAAACTCTCAACATATTGACATGTTATTTTAGGATGTTTTCTTAATATTTATTGTATGAAGCAAATAATACTTATCTTTGCATCTCAAAAAACAAAATACTTATCTGATTAACTTGTAATCTTATGATTACCAACCGAAAGGTCTTTTATGATCGTTTAAGAAGATGAATCCATTGGCTGCCAATAAGAAGGTGATCAAGAGAAGGTCTCCTACTCCCAAGAAGGTTCAGGTAAACATATATACTCATAGGCCATTGTTGTTTAATTTTGAAGTTTGATGCATATAATAAGACTGAATACCCTTCTTGCACTACATACACTTCCTCTTACTACCTTATTAGCTTACTATTGAGGAATGATGGGATTAGTGTTGGTTGTAATTAAGTTAATAACACAACTTACTTTGACGAAATAAGATATTTTGAGAGTGTATATATGTTTTGGCTAGTATAAGGACTGTTGATGTTGTATTATTCCTTGTGCCAAATTGATTCATTTGAGGTTCTGCAACTTCCTGATGCTTACTTGGCCCGCACTATTTGATTGAGCAGGCTAAAGGTGAAGGTTGTAGGAGGGAGTATGGGTGTGTTGATGAAAACTCCATAGCTATGAGGAGAGGTCGAGAACTTCAAGCAAATCTTTCACCTCAATTTCCTAGTGTAGTCAATTAAGTTCTTGCTCCATTCTCATACTACTAGTGAATTTTGGTTGGTAAGCCCTGCCCACATAATTAATCATATCTCTTTAATTTAGTGTTAATTAGGTTAAATCAAGTAATCTAAGCATGCTTATCACTGTGCCATCATTCTCAAATATAATATAATATAATATAATGATCTGATCTGATAGGGTCTGCCAAAAGATTTCTGCACTTGTGACTTGTCATCTGCCAAACCATGATACTGCTATTATTTTGGTGGATGAAAATGGAAGAGAAACAGAGACCAAGTACCTTATTGAGAAGCATGGCCTGAGTGGTGGATGGAGAGGATTTTCCCTCCAACACAACTTGGTTCCCGGGGATGTTGTAGTTTTTCAGCTAATCCAACCTCTCAAGCTTAAGGTAGGTAACCCCATCCATAGCCTATCAGTGTCCTAGTTTTTCAACTTATCTTCAGCCTTCAAAGAATTAACCTCATTTTTACTCCTTTTCCTTGTTTTAGGTGTACATTGTTCGGGCAAATGACTCGGCAAATATTGCCGGTGCTATCAGCCTTTTGGATTTAAGTCATTATGCACACCCAATTGCAACTGGTATGTATGTATGTTTTCCTTAGCTTGTTTCTTCTGCATTATTTGAATAAAGACTACAAAAAACCTAATTGATGTCCTCTCAGTTGTGTTACATTATATTGCCTCATCAACGGTAGACCTGCATTTGAGTGCTACTGACTCTGTTAAAATGTAGTATCGTTCTGTTCATCATATCTACTCTCTAAATCTATTACAAAAAGTCAATATCACCCCCACTAAGACTAAAGCACACATGACCTCCCATTTGAGACAGTCGGGTCATTAATTGGCTGATATATTGGTATTATTCTGAAGAATATATTAGTATATTTTATATCTCATCAATATAGGCTTTATATTAGGCACTCATTCACTAACAATTTCTAGTTATTCATCCATCCATCCAACCAAACTATGCCAACTTGCACAAACCAACATATATAATATTCATTAGGACTGAAGCATATATGCATAACTTTTTCTGTTATTCCAGAGGGTTTACTGCTGGAAGGTGATGATATTGAGGAAAATGTGTTGAGAATTGAAGATGCTGCAGATCAGTTAACCAGAATACAGCATGAAGGTGACAATCTGGAGAGACAAGTCTCTACCTCAGACCACTTATCTGCAGAGAATGTGGTTGAGTTTTCACAAGTGAAAAACTTCGAGGATTTTAAGGTTGTTGTCAACAACATAAACATAGATTCTGAGATCTCCGAAGATACAAGGCTCAAGTACTATGAGATGTGCCGCAGTCGCAACGCGTATCGTCATGAGCTTGAAGAGCCTGGGTTGAACTACACGCTAATCGCCGGGGCAATAACAGAAACTGTGAAAATCGCCGATGGCATCAAAGCTTCCACGCTCGCAACGGGCCGTGATGTTTTGGAAGTATGGGACAGAACTCTAATAGGGGTTCTTGCGCGGCAGGATAAGCGAGCTGATTAGGCTATGCGAGGCGGCCGAAATTGTTGCCGGAAAAGAGAAAGAAAAAGCCATAGCTGAAGCTGAGATGAAACATCTCCTGTACATGGTGTCAAAGGTGAGTGTGGTGATTAAGAATTTGGATGAGGAGATCCAGGCACCCAGCGGCGGGGAGAGGGTACAAGAGGTTTTCAAGAATGTTGCGAGTGCTGATTGGTGAAAAGTGAAAACCCTTCTTCTGTAGTGTTGCTTCAATGTATGGCTGTTGTATCTAATTCATTAGTGGCTAATTTAATTTGTTGGGAATTTTAAAGACACAAGTTTTTCTTTCCTCTTCTAGAATTTCTTTTATATATAGATATAGAATCTTGATCAAGTCCAACCGACTCATCCTGTGCGAGGATCGTGCTGTCGTCTCATGATGCACCCCTCCCGTGCGACGACGGTGCGGCCGTCTCATTGTCGATTCTCTACTTCTTCGATCTTTTATCACATACAAAAATGTAATTTTTTATGGTCCACAAAAAAATTGCCTAATATACTGCACCAGGCCAATAAAAGAATTTCATCTAATTTCGAGCATTGTTTGTGTGACCCATACCCCGAAACACTAAGCCTCTACATATTTGGGCATCTCACTTTCTATTTTAAGCTATTTCCTAAATTTCATACCTTACTGTATGTCGCTCTATCCTCAACGAGAACGTGCCGTTAGCTCACCACTGGACGTCTATTTGCTTCACTCCATCGTCAAATCAACGCCTTCCATCACCGACTCATTACAACTTTCATTTTCAATCGGCGAAACTCCAGTGCTTTGATTTTCCATCGGCGACTCTCCGTCGCTCCGATATTCCTAAAAACAACTCTTTGTCGCTCTTCTACTTCTTCGATCTTTTATCACATACAGATCCTCTGCTTCTTTGATCTTCCATTTCCAGCTCTCTATTGCTTCAATTAGATCTTCATTTTCAACTCTTTGATGCTTTGATCCACCATCGCTAAATCTCCACTGCGGTCGTGCTGCCGTCTCATGATACACCCCTTCTGTGCGATGACCGTGCGGCCGTCTCCTCGTCGATTCTCTACTTCTTCAATCTTTCATCACAGATTCACACTTCTTCGATTTTCCAGTGCTGGCTCTCTACTGCTTTGATCTTCCTTTTCAACTCTTCGTTGCTTTGATCCACCATCGCTAACTCTCCACTGCTTCAATTTTTTCATCCTGGACTCTGATCTCTACTACTTTTGTGTTTCGATCCCACTTCTACTACCTGTTTGAGCCTTTTACCCCTACATCAACGTAATTTAAAAATATACAAATAAAATTATTACCACTTAAGAAACTTGGATTTAATACTGAGGCTCTAAGGTAAGGATCAATTGGTAAGCCAAAATCCTTGCTCTAAGGTAAGGAGCAAACCCTTCTATGATTTTTTGTGGGGTCCAATATGAGTTGGAGGATAGAGAAGAATGAGAGAGAGAGAGTGTGCATTTTGAACTCCTGAGAGATAGTGATTTTTTGTAGGTCCCAAGAGAGAAAAAAAAAATGGAGGAAGGGCGCATGATTTTTTGTGGTACATTTTAATTTTTAAAATAATAAGTAGGAATATGATGGCAGGAGACATTGTCCCACTAATAATAATAATAATAATAATAATAATAATAATAATAATAATAATAATAATAATAATAATAATAATAATAATAATAATAATAATAATAATAACAATAAGAATAACAATAACAATAACAACAATAATAATAACAATAACAATAATAATAACAATAATAATAAGAATAATAATAATAATAATAATAATAATAATAATAATAATAATAATAATAATAATAATAATAATAATAATAATAATAATAGTTAATACCCATTTTGGTCCCTGGACTATTAGATAATAAGAGTTAATACCCATTTTGGTCCCTCGCCTATTAGATAAAAGGACGTTTTTGCCCCTCTTATAACGGTGGATGGATGACAATTGTAACGGAGGACCAAATTCGGTATGATTTACAAGTTAGAGGACTAAATTGGAAACTTTTAATAGTATGAGACTAAATTGTGCATTATCTAATAGTCGAGGGACCAAAATAGGTATTAACTCTTGTATCTAGGATCATACAAACCATTCATAACAGGCTTACACAAGATGATTTTCCAATTGTGAAATATATACACACACGCAGACACACTTTAAAAGAGGTCAAACACATTAAAGGCACCACCGGATAATTAAAAAAAAACTTAAATTAAAGAACTTGTAGTCATTGAAAGGATCGGAATGTGATATCGAAGCATGTGAAAAATAATATAATACTAATAACAAAATCATTCTTAAAAATCTCACATTGCATTTTAGGATCTCGCACTTTTACAAACCAAATTAAACAATACTAATATGAGATCGATTTTGAACACATAACTTAAACCAAATGTTCCTAAATCTATTATATCCCAATTAACTTGTTTAAAGTAGGTCATGTCATTAATTAACATGCATTTATGTTGTGTTGAGACATGCATATGTATCGCAAAATATCTCTTTGACATGAACATAACATGTTTAATAAACATGTTACAATCCATAAACTTATACAACAACAATTTATTAAATAATTTTATATATGTTATAACATGCATATATATGTTATAACATGAATATATTGTATTAACATAAACTGAGTATGAAGTAGCTAGCGGATGATGATTTGGGCAAAATTAGTAGATTAGGAAAATTGTTTTAATGTGTATGGCTATTGTAATTCATTAGTGGCTAATTTGTAGGGAATTTGTTAATATATTGCAATAGCTGGTGTAGTACGCTAAAGAAATCAAGGCAAATCCATTCTCAATTTTAAATACACAAGTTTACCTTTCATCTTCTAGAATCAGTGCAGCAGACTCCTCCCGTGTGACGATCGTGCGGCCGTCTCATTATTGTCGATTCTCTACTTCTTACTACCTGTTTGAGCCTTTTACCCCCTACATCGATGTAATTTAAAAATATACAAACAAAATTATTACCACTTAAGAAACTTGGATTTAATACCAAGGCTCTGAGGTAAGGATCAATTGGTAAGCCAAAATTCTTGTATCTAGGACCATATATACGGACCATTCATAACGGGCCTACACAAGATAATTTTACAATTGTGAAATATATACACACGCACTTTAAAGGAGGTAAAACACATTAAAGGCTCCACCAGATAATAAAAAACTTGAATTAAAGAACTTGTAGTCATTTTTTTTAACAAAGGGAAGAGCGAAGCCTCAGAAAACAAAACAACCAAATTAGTCGCTACGGGCAAACCGACACTCTATACAATCTCTATGGACTAACTCAGAAAGATTAGCATTCGGGCACTAGTTAACACAAGACCTAATCGGGTTCAACTCCTTGATTTCTCACCAACCAAAGAACTTGTAGTCATTGAAAGGATCGGAAAGGATCGGAATGTGATATCAAAGAATTTGAAAATTAATTAATATAATACTAATAAAAAAATCATTAATTCTTAAAAATCTCACATTACTTTTTAAGATCTCGCACTTTTACAAACCAAACAAGACTAATATGAGATTTTGAACACAATACTTAAACCAAATGTTCCTTAATCTGTTATCCCAATTAACTTATTTAAAGTACGTCATGTCATACTAATTAACATGCATTCATGTTGTGTTGAGACATATGTATCGCAATTTATCTCTTTGACATGAACATTACATGTTCAATAAACATGTTACAATCCATAAACTTATACTAAAAACAATTTATTAAACAATGTTATAACATGTATATATCGATTCAACCTAAAAGGTTAAAAAATCTATCATAACATGTTAAATAGATGTTGAAATTACAATGATTGCACGGGATGCCATGCTGGTGAAGCTATGTTTGGAGCGTTAGGAGATTGAAGCTGGCACTACATATTTCCTATTGGCCTCTCCTCATTAAGCCGTCCACATTAGTGGATTTTAGTGTGGTCTGTGAGAAAATTGAGTGATGTGGCGGTGAGAAAGTGATCGAAGAGAGCGAACAACTGAGGACCTCCGGCAAGAAGGGGTTTTGATCATGGGCCCCACCAAATTGAATAGCAGCTGGAATCTCACGTGAAAGGCAACATAGCGCCCAACGGGCGCATTACAATTGCTTTTTTTTTTTTTTCTGATTATAATTATTGTATTAGTTGATAAACCTTTCTTCCAAAAGGCTAAACCCCAACCCTAAGATTAGTTGATAAACCATGTATGAAGTAGTGGATGATTTTGGCAAAATTAGTCAGGAAAATTGTTTTAATGTGAATGGCTATTGTAATTCATTAGTGGCTAATTTGTGCAAACAAAGAACACTGGACTATGGTACGATGGAGCCGATCGGAGAAACGATATCCGATCTGAGGAAGATCGAGACCTCTTAGAACAGAGTACGAAGAAGGCTAAGAAAAACGTCGATATGGATGCGGGATCGTCGGTACAACCGGCTCAGGGCGAGATTGGCGAGGTCCCGGAAACGCCGATGGAGGAGTTGATGGAGAATGACGAACCAACCATGCAGGTAACGCACGTAAGCGACTCTGTTCTCCCGGTAACGCCCGTTTCTTTAACGCAGGTACCGGAGCCTTCTCCTTGGACATACGCAGCGATGGTCTCTGGACAGGCGGACCAGACCAGATGCATAGAAGAGGAGACGTTGGACGAGGAAAGTGACGACGATTCATCCGACGAGGAACACGATGATCCGTTTTGCCCCACCATCCACTTAACGCGGGCAGAGGTATGGGAAATCAGAGCTCCATGGCGCAAGGCATTGATCATCAAGGTGATGGGAAGGACTGTGGGCTATGCATATCTGCTACGCCGCCTTACCTCCATGTGGAAGCCGCGCGGGACGATGGACTTGATTGCCATTGACAATGGGTATTTCATCGTCAGATTTGGGGCTGTGGAAGACTTGGAGCATGCGATGTTTGAAGGTCCATGGATGATCATGGATCACTAC